CACTCAACGCATCATCACCAGGAACAACCAGCAGCCTCTCCTGTAGTTTATCAACAGCATCAACAATTTCAACAGGGTGCATATCCGAAATTTTGCGCAAGTCAATTTTGAAAGTCTTCTGCGCATTCCAGATATGCCTCTTGATGTTAACAGGCAATGGCCAAGTGCTATCACCATTTGTTGCAATTTCTGTCCCGAGTTGGAATCTGTCAGTCTCAAGTTTCGAATATTCTGCATCAAATACATCACGCAACTCCCGAATCCCCTTCAAGTCCTCGAGATGTTCATCACTTAGGTATGTAGGATTCCAGTTTTCGTCGTCAATCTCATACTTAAAAGTCCTATCAAACTCTGATTTCTTCATTTTCAAGGAATCCAGCTTCTGTGATTCTATCCATACAGCATCCATACCATCTTCTCCATAGAGAAACTGAATAACATCACCCAAAGAGTTTCTGACTGTCCCATCATACTTAACCATAATATCCTCCATAGCCTTTACCAATCGCCTCTGAATGTATCCAGTTTCTGATGTCTTCACAGCAGTATCAATAAGACCTTCTCTTCCTCCCATGGCATGGAAAAAGAACTCTTGAGGAGTCAACCCACGCAGGTATGAATTCTCAACAAAACCACGACTTTCAGGACCATAATCATCTTTGGTGAAATGTGGCAATGTCCGCCCATCAAATCCAAAGGGAATTCGCTTCCCTTCAACATTTTGCTGACCGACACACGCTGTCATTTGAGAAATATTGATGAAACTTCCTTTGGATCCTGCTGTCACCATGGCCTTAAGGTTATTGGTTTCTGCTAAACTCTTTTGAGCACTACTTCCAGCATCATCACGAGCTTTATTCAAAACCTACAAGAAAAGATTTTGAGTCAGCACATAAAAAATGTACTGACAACCAAACGAAAATCAAATAATTATCGTCTTGAATATACCTGGTTAACCCTGTTCTCAAATGTCTCAGTCATAGTTCGGCCAGGCTCAGGGTCCAATTTCTTTTCCTGGAACTGCCGGATAAGATCTTTCACAGCAGTTTTTGCATTGGAAATAGTTTCATTAATTTTCTCCATTGTTGATGAATCGGCAATTGTGTCACCAATTCCGATGGTAAAACCATTCTGCAGAAGCCAGTAATTGACAAGCCATTGAGTATGGCCGAGGAATTTCCTTGCTGCATCAGGACCAACCTCTTCCCTGTAAGCCAAGTAAAATTGAATTAAAACAAAAGAGCTCATGAAACTAATTACTACATTCAGGTATTCTCAACAATTCCGCATGTGGTGTTAACATAAGGTACCAAAATTAAGCCATTAAGCAAATCTGACAAACCACAATCAACACTCTAAGATCTTAATGTAATTTTTTTTATGCCAAGTAAAAAAATGCAGCAGCTTACCAAATGACATGCACGAGACTTCCATTAGATGTACCAAGGGTCTTTTTGCAAAGAGTTCCGGCAAGAAGTTCCCCTCTTTCAATTCGCACTTGAGTATCCCCCGGAGTTATGAATCCAGTCTCTGTATCTGCGTGCCAAGCAGAATACCTCAACAGATTTATCTGTTTTGGTATGATAAGATTAAAAACTTGTTTGCCAGTCCAAAGAGGACGAGGCTTCAAAATTGCAGGAGCCGGAACTTTCCCGTCGAAGTCTTCCCACCACATTAGTGTATTCATGAATACATCCTGAAAAATAGATAAGATATCAGCATAAGAGTTGGTTTATCCTCTTATCCAAATCATAGATAACTTTAACAAGCAACCACTAATAAAACTGTTACCTTCTCTATGAAGGTATCTCTCTTTGTGATTTTACGGCACCCTAGGAGGGTATCCTGCACAATTCCCATCACAGGCCGATTCGCCTGGGGGGAGACAATACATTTAGGAACCATCATCAGCTCTAACACCTCGGCTCTGGTCTCGAATGACTGTGGTACATGCATGTTCATCTCATCCCCATCAAAATCAGCATTGTACGGAGACGTGACAGACAAATTCAGACGGAAAGTGGAATATGGCATAATCCTAATCCTGTGACCCATGATAGACATTTTGTGCAGACTTGGTTGACGATTAAATAGAACAAAATCACCATCCTGTAAATGCCGCTCCACCTGTGACCAAGAAAGCATTAGAAATGACGACTTCCGGAAATAAACCTTTGTGAGTTGAGTGGATAGAATAAAGAAAAGTAGTACATACTTTGTATCCAAGTTCCAAATGTTGATCACTGCTCTTCTTAAGGTACCGAAGATCTAGTCTTTGGCCATCGTCCCTTATGATATATTTTGCTCCAGTCTTGCCAGGTGGAGGATGTGGTCCATAATCAACGAGCTCTTTTAATCTGCCAAAATAAATTGTCAACAAAACATGGAAAAATTACTCTGAGATAATGAAATAAACACCAGACGTACTAACCTTTCAATGTTATAGGGAGTAACTGTTTCTGGGTATGTGAGATTCAGGGCAATACTCCACGGAACACCAAGTTCATCAATATTTATTGTTGGATCTGGTGTAATAACGGTACGTGCCGAGAAATCAACTCGTTTTCCCATCAAGTTACCCCTGATTCTGCCTTCCTTGGCCTTCAGCCTACTACATATTGATTTAATAGGCCTCCCTGATTTCTGAGTAGCCTGAAGAAAATAAAAGCCAATCCAGATAAAGCAACATCTGTATGTATCATACCAGATATCTGGAAGGATACAAAAGCATTACCCTTGGCTGTCCAGGCAACTCGTTATCAAAATACGTAGCTATATGAAACTGCAAGAGTTGTGTAAACTCTGATATAATATGAGCTGGCGCTCCATTTTTTTCCTGCCTTTTCAAGTTTTCATTGTGTCGAATAATCATGGCTAGCTGATGGGTCAAGTCATCCTGCATCAACAATAAGCATGATGTCAGGGACACACACTATGTTGGTATAATCAAAAAGAGTTGAAACGTAATAATACAACATTGACAGTCAAGAGAAACTCTGTACCAGAATCGAAGAAAAGTCCTTATTCAGAAAACCATAGTCGACTTACCTCACTTCTGGAAGTGGCATCCATCATTACAGATGGTCTGACAGGGGGTGGAGGGATAGGAAGGACTTCAAGAATCATCCAGTCAGGACGAGCAAACTTAGGGTTGAACCCTAGGAGTTGACAATCCTCATCACTAATCCTCTTCAAAACACTCAAAACCTGCAAGAATTTCCCATGCCATCAGATTAAGCCAAACATGAAGAGGTAAGTTCATTCGAAAGAAAAGACTAACCCTATCAGCACCAAGTGTCTGTTTCCTTTCTGCAGGCTCCGGAAGCTGGTCTGGCTCATCGTTTTTCTTCCTTGGAATTTTGTATTCTGCAATCATCTTCATACCCTCAATAGTCAGCTTTGGTTGTTGTGCACCACATCCACCTCGGCTCTTTTTTACTGGTTCGTCAGTGTCTTGGTTCTGGACATCATCAATATCATCACCACCTTCACATTTGGTCTTGTTTTTACAGGCATCCAGAATCTTCTTAAGCCTATTCTTGGGGTTCTTTATCTTCATAGCCTGTTTAAACTTGTGCTCCTCCTTCATGAAAATAAACAATTGAGAACAGCTAGTCAAACAAAGACATAAGCAAAACAAGTAATACAGGCACGAGATAAGTTCCTACATACCTCATCAGCTAAAATCTTGGAGCAATTGAAGCAGACACATCTCATGATACTTAACACCGTCTTCATAAAACCAACATGATACATTGGCTTAGCGAGCTCAAGATGGCCAAAATGTCCCGGACACTCGGCCATATTAGCCATACATGTCTCACACTTCACCTTCCGATCAATCGTACCAAGCCGGATATCACTCAATCCTCCAACTTTAGGTTTACCCTTCTCGGTCGTCTCACTATGCTCAACATGTATAACAGACATTTGCCTCTGAAAAAAAACACACAAAAAAAGCCATTAGCAACCAGCGAAACTCAATTCGTAACTTGTAGCTTCCAATTAACACCAATAGATAGAAAAGAACATGCTCTTCAACTAAACCGATCGATTTATTTACTACTATTCACGCCAATTTCCCCGCCGGCTAAACAGACGGCGGAGCAATGGACGTGAGAGAGATAGAGATAGCCAAAGAGAAAGGAACATTACGATCTCATCGGGGCTGAGTATGCCAAACTGGACCACCCGGACTTTAGAGACCTCGGCCGGTGAGAACGGAAACCTCGTATCCATGACGGCTAAACTCCGATCAAAGACGAATCAAAAATCGAAAACCCTAGAACGTGAATCAAAAATCAATTAAACCCTAACTGTGTTTCCCTCTTTGCCAATTTGTTTGAATCTATGAAGTCAGTAGTTTACAGTTGCTTGAGCTAAACTTTTTTTCGTTTTTTTTTCCCTCTCTGGGTTTTTGACACGACCAGATCTGGAATTCTCTCGTCTCTTCACGAGGAGAGATGAGCAAAAGAATTCACGATTGGAGCCCTAAGCCTCTATTTATAGAAAAAGAGGCGGCTCAGAGGTCGGTTCTGGTTTATTGGGCCGTAAACGTCTCAGGCCCAATGAAACGGATTAACGGGCCTGCGTCGGCGCTGACCAAAGAAACGCATCTTAGAGAAGAATTTAGACTTCTATCAAGATAGGTTTTAATTTTATATAGGATCAGTTGGTTTACCTTTACTTTAAATTTTTCGGTTTAGTCAAACCGATATTTCAAGAATAGGTTTCCGAAAGCGAAACAATAATAGTTCCATTATTATTTCACCATGTTTGGTAAAGTTGACTGAACAATCTTAACCATGAAAGTTTCTATTCAATTAACTGCTAGTGGCCAAAGCTATAAAGGAAGAGGAGTCCCTAAGCTCAAAGACTATAATTGTAATTTAGATTGAAACGTTTAATTATCTTCATTTCATCTTCGGAATAGGAAATACCAAACTCCTTCAATATTCCAAAAGTGATTAATGAATGAGTTGGGAGTTAATAAAATGAAATTATTGTTTTACTGTAGCAAAGTAGGGTGAACTCATTAATACGGGGAAACTAGCAAATAAATATTACACGGAGGCATAGTCCCAACTCTATGGTCAAGTTATGTGAAGCCACTTTGTTTATGTATATAACAGCCACGCTAAGACGTAAACAAAACAACCAAAAAATTATTATACTTATAGCTTTTATCTTCAAATGCATGTTTTCAGTGTAACGTTTTTGTTCTTTTGATTTAGATCTCTCTATAGGATTCTTCAACTTTCTACAATCAAACAAAAATGGCGAAGAAACCGAAACACCTCCGTAATCAGCCGCGTAAATCTTTTTCGACGCAAGCTTTCACAGTTCTCATACTTGGACTCTTTGTCATTTTGATCCTTGTCGGTCTCGGAATCCTTTCACTACCTAACACCAACAAGAGCTCTTCTAGGCCGATGGATTTGACCACCATTGTACAAACGATCGAGGAGAGGTTAGGGATATGATTTTTCTGATGTTTTGTGTTTTCGTTTGTTACATTAGAGTTATTTAAGTAATAGCTTTTGAATTTATTAAGTAGGGAGAGTTATGGAGACGAAGAAGACGGTAATGGTGACCGCTGGCTCGAAGTTATCTCGTGGGAGCCTAGAGCTTTCGTTTACCACAATTTCTTGGTAATTTTTTCGGATAAATTTCTGATCAGGATTTGTTTTATGCTTGATCACAAGTTAGCTAACATCTTCATGCTAGTTCATATAGTTTTTAAGTGTTTCTTGTCAGACAAGCTAACAAAGGTTTGAAAATTTGATCTATATGCTCTGTTTCTTTAAATTTTGTAAGACAAATGAAGAATGTGAGCACTTGATTAGCCTAGCGAAACCTAGTATGGTGAAATCAAAGGTGGTTGATGTGAAAACCGGAAAGAGCATAGACAGCAGGTTCTGTATTATAGTCTTGTCATTTTCGCCCTTCAAGCTTAGTTTGGAAAGATTTGAGAGAATTCTAAATTTGCAAAACCCTTGGTTATGCAGAGTACGAACCAGTTCAGGAACTTTTCTTAAAAGAGGACATGACGAAATCGTGGAAGAGATTGAGAATAGGATTTCAGATTTCACCTTCATTCCTATAGGTATGTGGCTTCTGTTTTTAATTGTCCAAATCTTAGTACAAGTTTGGATTTTTCGGAGCGAAAAAAGGAAATGCTGATTGTCTAAGATCATCACTTCATATCAGTTTCTTTGTTTCGGAATTTTCTTGTGGAGTTAATGTAATGTAATTGCAGAAAATGGAGAAGGGCTACAAGTTCTCCATTATGAAGTTGGGCAGAAATATGAGCCTCACCATGACTATTTCTTCGATGAGTTCAATGTCAGGAAAGGAGGACAACGAATTGCTACAGTACTTATGTACCTGTAATGTAACCATAAAACCATTACAATCTTTCTCATTAGCCACAATGCCTTTGTTAATTGATCTTATTTCTTTGATTTGTACTACCTAGCTCGGATGTTGATGAAGGCGGCGAAACAGTTTTCCCTGCAGCCAAAGGAAACATTAGTGATGTCCCATGGTGGGACGAGCTCTCACAATGTGGTAAAGAAGGACTCTCTGTTCTGCCAAAGAAGAGAGATGCTTTACTCTTCTGGAGCATGAAGCCTGACGCCTCTCTAGACCCTTCTAGTTTGCATGGTGTGCCTTTCTTCAAACTTCTTTAAATCTCAAGAGAACCCATTTGAAATCTTGAACTAGTAGAGACTCTCAAAATATTGTCTGATTGATATAGGTGGTTGTCCAGTGATCAAAGGAAACAAGTGGTCATCAACTAAATGGTTTCACGTTCACGAGTACAATTGACTTGAACAAAAAGAAGATAGCTTTTGAAGAGGTAATTAAGCACTAAACCTCACTTTGCATTGTCTCTCAAGATTGTTTTAATGTTTCTGTCGTCTTTTGCAGATTTCTATGATCCCACCAACATGTACTAGTATGTGTATCATTGTCAATTTCATCCTGATACGTCTCTCAGAAGCTCTCAAACGCTGCACCATCAAAACCACTTTCTGCCCTTTTAAGTTAAATCTTATTGATACACATAATAAATAAATACGTATGTATACGAACAATTTTCCTTTTGGTGTGTAAGAATCCCAACGAATAATTGATTGTGTTTTAATTAGATGAAACAAAAAGAAGACACAAGTTTTTTTTTTGTTAAACAAAAAGAAACGTGAAAATTTCTTTTGTTATGTTAAAATTATACAGGTGAGTTACTCACCACACTTTTCGACTCTTTCCAACAATCTACTGTTGAGTTTTTTTTTTTTACCTATCTGCAAAATGTTTTAAATCCACATACATAAACACAAGATAGACATATACAGTCCTAAGGGACCTCTTGTAGCCCTGGAATCATAGAACACTTGAGCCATATTTAACCTTTCAAAGCATATAGTATAGCCATCTTTGAAAGCACACACTAACAATAGAAAATTTACCAAAGGCATTATGGCTAATGAGAATCCATCTTTGAAAGCACACACAGACACCCTAATATTCCTATTCATTAAACTTCTCGAGAATTTGTTGTTTTTTTTTTTTTTTTTTTGGGACTTGTATAAAAAGGAGGTTCTATAGAATTATATATGAATCACACAATTCATAAAAGGAAAACCCTAAATTCGTTTTCTCTCTTAAGTTTTGTTACGAGTTCATATGTTTTATTCATTTGCGAACTCAATGTCTAAGTCGACGTCACTGTCTACCATACTGTATCTGAGGCAGAGGTTGCACGGGCTGAAGATATATGAAACTTCAGATCTAATGCAGCACATCAACACGTTCGATGCATTAGTCGGTGAACAAGTGTCCGTGGATGTGAAAATTGAGGAAAAAACTAAGGACATGATCTTGTTGTGTTCTTTGTCCCCCTTGTTAACAACACTTGTAACATGAAGGTTGCTGCATCGTTGCGCTTTCCAAGTGAGCGTTGGCTCGAAGTCATAGCGAAGGAGCCTAGAGCTTTCGTTTACCATAATTTCTTGGTAATTCTCTTTGCTTCTTAATTTGGGATAATTTTTTTTGTTTAGGTTTTTTATATCTATGCTTGATGATGAGAACGTAACATCTTCGTCATGTTAGTTCATATAGTTTAGGATTTGATCTTAGGCTCTCTTCTTTAAATTTTGTAAGACAAACGAAGAATGTGAACACTTGATTAGCCTCGCGAAACCTAGTATGGCGAGGTCCAAGGTGCGCAATGCGATAACCGGACTGGGTGAAGAAAGCAGGTTATATATGTACTCTGTTTTCATTTTGATTTTTCCCTCTTCAGGTTTAGTTTGGAAAGATTTGAGATTTGGAATTCTGTTAATGTGGTGCAGCTCACGGACGAGTTCAGGAACTTTTCTTAGAAAAGGACATGACAAAATCGTGAAAGAGATTGAGAAAAGGATTTCAGAATTCACCTTCATTCCTGAAGGTATGTATGTGGCTTCTGTTTTAAACTGTCCAAAGTTTGGATTTTCGGATCAAACAAGGTCTAAGATCATTACATTATTGTGGAGTTAATGTAATTTAAGTGCAGAAAACGGAGAAGCGCTTCAAGTGATCCATTATGAAGTTGGGCAGAAATTTGAGCCTCACTTTGACGGATTTCAAAGAATTGCTACTGTTCTTATGTATCTGTATGTAAACCATAAATAAAATCCTTATAATCTTTCTCATCAGCCACGTAAAAAAAGAAATACACAATATTAATCTTCTTTTTTCTGTCATCGTATAACTAATTAGCTCGGACGTTGATAAAGGCGGCGAAACAGTGTTCCCTGAAGCCAAAGGAATTAAAAGTAAAAAAGGAGTCTCTGTTAGACCGAAGAAGGGAGACGCTTTACTCTTTTGGAGCATGAGACCTGACGGGTCTCAAGACCCGTCGAGTAAGCATGGTAAGAGAGAGAGAGATATAGAGATACGTTGCCTTTCTCTAAACTTGTTTTAAATCGTAATAAACCCTTAATTAATTACTTGTTGAGATCATTAGATGTAAAACAAATCTCTCAAAAATTTGTTTGTTTGATTTAGGTGGGAGTCCAGTAATCAAAGGAAATAAGTGGGCATCAACCAAATGGTTCCGCTTTCATAAGTTCAACACTTAATAACTTTCCAAGAGGTAAGCTCTTACCCTCACTTCGAGAGATGATGAATTGAATCCTTTGGATTGTCTGATAATTTCATTCTTTAGGTTACTTTGGTTATTTTCTGCTGTCAAAAACTACAATATACGTGTGTTTATTTTCCACTGGTAGAATATACTTCTATCAATGAGTATGACAAAAAAAAAAAAAAAAAAAACGTTCGCATGTTTATTTGAAATAAAAAATGACTCGACAGTGATAATGGTTCCAATTGACTAGCAAGAAGCAAAAGATGAAGGAGAACAAAAGCAAAAGTTTTAATTAACATCATTCTCGTCCTCCTCACTGCAAACATTTTTATTGCAACAAACCTTTGGATATATAACTCAAGTCTCTGGTGGCTTACCAGATTTATTGTTTGATCAAGTTCCTGATAACATACTGCAATATCCCTCCGTGATCAAAATAAGCCAACTCCACCTGCCCATTCCAAACTCCTCTTACAAAGTATTCTAATTCTGATTTAAAGCTAAAAAAAAACTCAAGACGAAAGCGCGAAAATATATCATCGAGAGATGACCGACCTCTGTGTCGAATCGGAGTGTACATGTGAAAGATTTGCCATTGTTTGTGATGACTGTTACATCTTGTCCTGGTTTGATCTTACTAACAGTGTTTGGGAGATCAATGGTGTAAAGCTCCTGACCCGTTAGGCCTAGTGTCTCAGCATCTTCTCATGTCTTGAAGCACAAAGGTATGATTCCCATTCCCACCAAATTGCTTCGGTGAATTCGCTCGAAGCTCTTTGAAATCACAGCTTTCACACCCTGTTGTTACAATTTTTTAAAGAATTCGCGTAAAACAAGTGTAAAAACGTGTTGGTTAAATACAGAAAAAGCCTGAGCAAGCGTTTACGCCAGAGATGTACCAGAAGCATTGGACCCTTGGCAGCCCAATCGCGAGAACTTCCACTACCGTATTCAGCACCAGTCAAAATGATTGTGTCACGTCCCTCGTTCCTGTATTTCTGGTACAAGCACGAAAAGAGAAATAATCTGATAAGAACAAAGCTATGAACTGCTATTCTAATTCCAATTGACCAAATCAGAGAACCAAACCACAAAATTTCCAGCCCCAGTACAATCTGCTGAGACATAATTATTACCTCAGCATTCACTAACTGTTCTCTAACACAACTCATAGCAGCTCTAATCTGCTACATTCAGTCCTACGCTAGATACAATAGACCTGTAGCTAAGAGTTGAGCAGTAGTACTTATCGTAATCCTAACCCAACCGCATGACCAAGAGCTAGAATTTGATGTTTTAGAAAAGATAAAAAAAAAGGTGTGAGATTATACCATGGCAGCATCAAAGAAAGACAGCTTCTCTCCTGTGGGAATGTGAACTGTTTTGGGACCAACTTCTCCTTTCAGGTGTTTGTTGACAATACGGATATTTGCAAAAGTGCCTCTTGCCATAATCTCATCATTACCACGGCGACTCCCGTAAGAGTTGAAGTCTCTTCTGTCCACACCTCGTTCCATCAAGTACTTAGCCGCGGGACTGTCCTTGTGGATGGTACCAGCTGGTGAGATGTGATCAGTGGTAATACTGTCTCCAAAATTGAGTAAACAGTATGCGTCTTTCACACCATGTGGACCGGGTGGTGACATGGTCATGCCCTTGAAATAAGGTGGCTCGTGAATGTAAATTGATTTCGGGTCCCACTCAATTTCGGGTCCCACTCAAAGAGAGTACTTGACGCGACAGATAACTGATTCCACATGGAATTTCCTTTGGTGATTGCTTCATATGTAGCTTTGAACATATCAGGAAGGACACTAGATTAAACAACCTGAAAATTTGAAACAGAGAATTTGACATTCCGTCTACTTATAAAGTCTCATGGTTTACGTATTGCACGAGCAGCCCATATATATTTACCTCAGCAACTTCTTTGTTAGAGGGCCAGATGTCCCTGAAAAATATTTGTTTGCCATCTTTCCCTGTTCCAATGGGCTGTGTCTCAAAATCAATGTCAACCTACAAGAATATTCATGGGAATGATTCTGTGCTTCATATAACATGAATGCTTGATTGTTGGGAAATGGCTTTAGAGTTAGCATTAACATACCGTTCCAGCCAAAGCATAGGCTACAACAAGCGGTGGGGAAGCTAGATAGTTAGCCCTTGTTAACGGGTGAACACGTCCCTCAAAATTTCTGTTCCCGAACAACACAGCGGATGCCACCAAGTCTTGTACATATATGAGAAATATTTTAGTTTGACCTTCAAAAATTCAAGTGAATAAGCATTACATCATTAACTACTTGAGGACTTACCATTATCAACTATTGCTGAAGCCACAGCTTCATGGATATCCCCTGAGTTTCCAATGCATGTGGTGCACCCATAACCAACTATACTGAAGCCAAGCTGATTCAAGTACTTCTGCAAGCCACTGCAAAACTTGAAAACTCAGGACCACATAATACAGAGGATAAGGAAATAAATAACAAAACATTCAACGGTGTATCAGCAGTACCTCTTTGCCAAGTACTTTGTTACAACTCCAGAGCCTGGTGCAAGACTAGTTTTAATCCATGGCTTAACCTAATAATAAAAAAATTTCAAACACTTCTATTATTTCCATTGCATAGAAAGATATTAAAACACGATCACACAAGTAGTCAAACCTCCAGTCCTAGTTCGCAGGCCTTTTTTGCAACCAAGGCAGCGCCAAGCATTACACTAGGGTTCGAGGTATTTGTGCAACTGGTGATTGCTGCTATAACAACATCTCCATGTCTAAGCTGTGTTGTGGTCCCGTTAAAATTGAACTCTACAGCCTTACTCTGTGCTTCTTTAGGTACAGCAAAATCCTGGAAAATCATGGATAAGTAGTATCACTAACCACTATTTTTGAAACAATGGAACTACATTATAAAATCAGAAGTGTTGCAGGACACAGTTATTTTATCGGACCCGCTAAAAGACTCGAATACGTCGACATAATACCTACTACTCTTTCATAATCACAGTAACATTAGCTAGAGGTGCCATAATTTCCTACAGATTAAGCTCTCAAGAATGCAAGCATTCACATCTTCTCAACAGAAAGGAGAGTACTAACCTTGAATCCCACTTTATTATCCAAGCACGAATGTCAGTCTGCCTTCATTTCCTTCAAAGGAACACGATCGTGAGGCCTGTATTGTACATAGAGAATAGAAATTGTAAGTAGAATGGATCCTGGATAATTTTCTGTCGAAACATTCACTAATAGTACCTCTTGGGACCAGAAACACAAGGTTCCACATCCTCAAGATTCAATTCCAGACATGAGGAATAAACTGTCTTACTCTCTAGCTGAGATGTGTAACAAGTTCAAAGTGAAGCATATATTATGCAATATGATATATGACAAAGGCATAAGAAATGAAGCATTAGGGATCCCCAAGGTTTACCTCACTGTAATCCACAAACATCTTATTTGCTCGTAAATACGCCTCTATCGTAAAGACCTACAATTCAATTCACAAATCAATACCCTTATGAAACTCTTTAGCACACTAAATTATGAAGATTTTCCTTGCAACCCTAAATGTGACATTTTTGTGCATTTTCTTACAGTTTCATCGCTCCTGCCTGTCAACCTTAAATACTGCAACGTGACAGGGTCAACTGGGAAGAATCCCATGGTTGCACCGTACTCAGGAGACATATTGGCAATTGTAGCACGATCAGCTAAAGACAATTCTCTCATCCCTTCCCCTGTGTATGAAAAAGCAGTAGATACATATGTGAGCTAGCCTAACTCAGTTAGGTACTGCGTAAGTAAAGAAGTGACATATGATATCAAATCTTTCATGAATGTACCGTGGAATTCAACAAACTTTCCAACTACTCCATGTTTCCTCAGCATTTGAGTAACTGTTAAGACCAAATCAGTAGCTGTCATTCCATCTCTTAGTTTTCCTGTTAGCTTGAAACCCACAACACCGGGCAGGACCATGCTCATTGGCTGCATAGAAAGAGATGGAAACTCCATTAGAATTATTAAAAGGATGTAGTTTATAATAAAATAAACTTCAACTGCCAAAGAATCATCCCTAGATTAGAACCAAAGTGTCAGAAAGAGTTTAGACAGTCAGCTAACCGAAAGAGCATCATCTAATCTACCTGACCAAGCATGGTAGCTTCCGCTTCTATACCGCCAACTCCCCATCTAGCAACACCCAGTCCATCAATCATAGTGGTGTGAGAGTCTGTGCCAACAACACTGTCTGGGTAAAGAAGTCCATTTGTGTTGAAAACAACTCTGGCAAGGTATTCTAGGTTGACCTATCAATTGCAAAATTATAGAAGTTAGTATATCTTGAATAAGCATAAAAAATACTTCCAAGTTTAACCAATTCCGTTGTCCCTGAATCCTCTACTTACTTGATGAACTATTCCAGATCCAGGAGGTACGACAAGCATGTTGTGAAAGGCATTGGAGCCCCACTTAAGAAAAGCAAATCTTTCCTTGTTACGCTGGAACTCAAGCTCCATGTTTGCCTGTACTGCGTTCTCTGATCTCGCCACATCAACTTGAACGGAGTGATCAATGACAAGATCTATAGGGACCTGCAATTATCAATGCCTTGTATCAAACCTTATAGCATACCAGAAGGATACATGATATTAGCCAATCTCAAGTAATTAGCAAGGAAACTAACCAGCGGGTTAATCTTATTAGAATCCCCACCGAGATTATTCATGGCATCTCTCATGCAAGCAAGATCAACAACATCAGGGACACCAATAAAGTCCTGAAAAACGAATACACATTTCGAGCATGTACAGGAAATCAGCAACATTATCTCCTCGATGAGATTGTGCATCGCAATCATTTCTAAGGCGGTACCTGAAGAAGAACCCGAGCAGGTTTGAATGGAATTTCTAAGTATTCTCCCAATCAAGAATCTTCTCAACATCGTTGCTCTTAACTTGGAACTCATCACAGTTACGTATGGCAGATTCAAGAAGTATCCTAATGGAATAAGGTAGTTTATCTGCATCCACCACAACATTTCTCTCAAATCAAAACTCATAAAAATCACAACTACGAGATCATAACAACATTTTCACCTAAACATCGATAAGAGATAAAGCAAACTCACCGATCCTGGCATCGTTCAAAGCAGGCAAGCTGTAGTAGTTACCGAATTCGCCACTATCAGGCTTCTCTAACGCCTTCAATATGCCCCGGAAAGGATTCTCGGAAGCTGAAAAAAAAATCAGAAACAAAGATCGACACAGAAAATCAAACACAGAACCAGATTTCAAAAAAAAAAAAAAACGAAAATAGCTGATTAATCAGCATCGGCGAGAACAAGAAATGAGAAACATGAATCATTTTTGATCGTAAACTGGTAAGATCGATACCCATGGATGATGATACAAGTCGAGTGAAGAAGCGAAGTAGAGAGATCTGTTCCAGAAGAGAGGAAGTTTATTAGCGGAGTTGGTGAGGCTACCACGAGTCTGAGCCGATTAAGATTTTTTTATGTAAGAAGGAAATAAATCTGACAGATCCGTGGTTGGCTCTTTTCGTCAGAACTGATGGATGTTTGATTTTTTTAAAAAAAATTATTTTCTTAATCTTCCTACTTCTTTTTTTTTGTGAATATCCATTATTTGCTTTTTTGTATCAAGTGAATGATATCTGTTTAATCGGATTTTATTTTCACAAACTTGTAAAATCCTTATGTTATTGTCATATGTGCCTCTTATCTATAAAATTGTAGTATCTAGTTGACTAGTTTCATGTATCCAATTTTCTTCAAGGTTTCTCAATTTTAAAAGGCGTTAATAAAAACCTTATTTGCTGACAAACATATAAACTCAATGATCGTCATTAATTCACCAAAAAAAATCGCCACCACCTGCATGCAACCATTAAAAAAATACAATGAAAAATACATATTTATTTTGACTATGGGTCGCTCCGTTCGAGTTTGATGTTCTAATTAATTTGGGCCCAACCCATCTTTATAACTGGTTTGGTCTAGCCCAGACGGGGTCGTTATGAAGTCACATTAAACGATGTCCTTTAGCTGAAAACTATAAAACGAAGAAGGAAAAAGGAAAAGAAAAAACTGGTTATCCATAATTAGCAAATCAGATTAGAATGAAATTGGGCTCAATAGAATGAAAGCTGAGTTGATTACTTTATTGATCGACGTCGATCCCTCCTTGTTGAGACCATGATTAGATGTGTATATTTAATTTTATTCTTAGCAACAGTACTTCTCGTCTCTTAAATATTATGATCTGCATTAAAACATTGTCCATCAATATATCCAGCTAAAAATCTATTACTAACTATTAGTAGTAGTTGCGATCGTGGTCAGTGTATCTGCTTTTAAGAAACCTCACTAATTCAGTCCCTAGCTAGAATCTGAAGCACCTTTGTGTAAATTTTTAAAAAAGTTACAAGAAGATGTAGATATTACTATTACATCATAAATATCGACAACTATGTTTAACGGAGTGGAGTGGTTTTTAGAATTGGTGGGCGGTGGCTCATATGATTTCGACTTTTTTTACTACACGAGAAAGAGACTCATGATTTCGTCTTCTTTACACACTTTTGTCATTTCGTCCATTTATCGTCTTTTTCAATTTGTTGGATCGTATATACGTTTGTTTATTTTTAATATGGACGAAACCATATAAAGTATCTGATATTTATGGAGTTGATTTAATGATGATTTCATACAAATAAATTAAGATTCATACAAATAAATTAAGGAGCAGATACAAGTGGTGGTCGGGTTAAATTATCAATCACGCCATTCAAAGACGCACCGGTAAAATGTGACGTGGGTCAGCATGTAGATAACCTACCAATCATAATTATATCTTCTTTGTTTATTTGGCTTTTTATTTTCCACTTTTTATATTATAATATCACTTCTAGGTAAAATTCCGTTACTTTCACTTACCCATTGTTAATTTTTATCTTTAAAAAAAGAAGTAACACTTAATTCTTTGTCACAAGATGCAAATACGTACTCATAAAATATTATGTTTGTCATGTTCAATAATATCCTCACGTAAATATAGAAATTTTTGTAAAATGATTTACAGGAGAGTGGTGTGGAGACCAAATTTTAGTTGAAGTATCATCAGTAATACGATTTTTCTTTTGGGAGGAAAACTAGTAAAACACAATCGTCCAAGTTCAATACAAATACAATACATAGAGAAACTCACTCTCAGCAGTGAAACTAAACATACAAGAAATGTATGTAAGTGACACGCAACCATGTATCATGCATATGGTTAGATTTCAATTTAATCACTCATGGGACCAGCTTCCGGACCATTAATTGCCCCTTGTGTCAATAGAATTTTGGGGTAAATATATATTTCTTTTTTGTCAACTATGCTACGGTTGAAAAAATATTTGTCAACTATTTTTCGTAGACGCAGCAATTCTTACATCTGATATTTTCAGTAAACATAGGGATTATTGTTGATTTTGCCCTTTTTTACCAAAATCTTTTGAAAATGTCATTTTTGCAAAAAATCTTATGGATTTGTCATTTTCTAACACTTAAAAATGTACGTATTTCTGATTTTTTTTGGTAAAAATACATAGTTTATACAAAATACTAAACCCTAAGAACAACCACAACCGACTAAACCCAAACATAACGAATAAAACGCATGTTTCCGTAGCCTGAAAAAGGGCAAAATCCATAAACTATTCAAAAAAGGGCAAAATCCACAAATGCCATCACAAAAAATGGCAAATCCATAATTGATTCGTAAACATATATACTAGTTTTAAGGGATTATTGTTGATTTTGCTCTTTTTTATCAAAATCTTTTGAAAATGCCATTTTCATTAAAATCTTACGGATTTGCCATTTTTTACACTTAAAAATGTACGTATTTACGATTTTTTTTAGTAAAAATACGTAGTTTATACAAAATACTAAACCCTAAGAACAACCACAACCGACTAAACCCAAACATAACGAATAAAACGCATGTTAAATCATATTTCCGTAGCTTGAAAAAGGGTAAAATCTATAAACTATTCAAAAAAGGGCAAAATCCACAAATGCCATCCAAAAAAATGGTAAATCCATAATTGATTCTTTTAACAATACTATATGATTTATGACAATAAAGAATTATGAAAGATCGAAATTATAAGAAAATGATCCCCTGCAGTATATATGATGCAAAAAAAAGGTGATGTTGTAGTCGATACTCATTAGATGAGGCATTGTCTGTAATTATCTCAATGCTAAATTTATGTAATTTTTTAAATCTGAAATGAAACGTTTAGTCTTGATATATGTAACACATAAAAAAATGTTGTGATTTGCTTTGACAACAGTACGGTTTTTTTGTTCTTTTTGGAAAATGGATCGCTATATAGACCATGATGAATTGATGATCAACTAATTAGAAACATTACATAGCTACACAATATAAAAACGGTAAAGGGTATTTCAGCTTCTGGCACGTAATAGCTAGCACAATAACAAAGTCTCACCGTACCCTATTTAGTTTGGTATAACAATAAAGTATTGCTCATATTAAGGAACTTACTATAAAAGGAAAGGCATAATCAAATAAGATTTTAAAATTTCCTCAAATAGTTAACATGTATAGAAATTGTATCTGTTTCGTATCTAATTGTTTCTTCTGATTGCTTGTATTATTCGTAAAGGACCCTACCATATTTTGGATATATTCAGAGAATCTAAATATCTCCCGTATTTCCTTGTAATTCAAATAATCTATTTTTTTTGTTTTTATCGTCTAGATTTATTATTAATTGCAAAATTATGAGAACTGTTACATAGATGATTCTACAACTGACAATTCCTTCCGACCCTTACATGATTCACGACAGACTACACTTCCTTCTTCGTAATCTTGATGAATACCTTCAATGATCCACGACCTGGCGACACTTCCTTCTCTGCGTAGAATCCTGGCGAACGGCTATAATTGTACATCGCTGGAGATCTCTTGCACACTTACCTCCATTAATCTGCAAATTTGTTAATAAATCGCAATACCTAGGATTCGAACCCCAAACTTTTTGATATAAAAGCATTAATCAACCCTTGATCAACCAATGGGGCAAGGGACTTCCACTTTAAATAATCTATCACATTTAAAATATATGTAAAAAATGAAGATATGATTTTATTAATTATAAATATCTTTATTTACGCTGATCTAGCTTGCGCGCTTATCTCTCTTTAATTACCTCTCTCCTTCTCTCAAGCATTGAAATGATAAAAACATTGCAGTGGTGTTTTGAACATCGATCTTGACAGGCAAACCCTAGATTTTACCTCACCTACTCGAGGTTAAAAAATTTAAAGGAAACGACGACCGAAAGCTTTAATTGCAAGTAGGCCAGACATCGGATCTTCTCTCTTAAGGGCTAAGCAAAACCCATCTCTCCTCTTTCTTCTATCTTCTTTCTCATCTCTCTCTCTCTCTCTCTCTCTCTCTCTCTCTCTCTCTCTCTCTCTCTCTCTCTCTCTCTCTTCTCTTGTATAAGCTCCACTGAGCTCTGTTTTCGTTTTTACCGTAGATTGTTTCGAGTCTCTTTCTCTATATATTTTCACCAGCCTTTAATCTTTGGAGGGTTCTGTAAAAAAATGGCATCTTCTAGATTCCAATCTGGGTTTTGTCCTATCTCTTCGTGTCCTTCTCTTGGGAATTTCGTGGAAAGGATTAAAGACGCATGTCGTTTCACCCTCTCCGCTGTTTTAGGGACAATTCTCTCGGCGATCTTGACTTTCTTCTTCGCATTAGGTCGGCCTCTCGTTTCCTATTTACATAAGTTCTTGATTCTGTTCAAGAATGTAGAAACTTGCTCTTCTCCCAATTTAGTCTCTGTGCGGTGCAAATCCGAAACTTTTATGAAGCTTTTGTCCTTCTTTGGATTGATTTGATCATTGATAGCTCTTTGCTGATGATTAGACAGAATCTGCAACTTTGGTTTGATGTAGAGCTAAGAAAGTTGTTTCCTTTTTCTCTTCTTCAGTGGGCACACTGCTTGGAGCACTTACTGGAGCCTTGATAGGCCAAGAAACCGAGAGTGGATTCATCCGAGGAGCAGCAGTTGGAGCCATTTCAGGAGCTGTTTTCTCTATCGAAGTCTTTGAATCATCTCTTGTTCTCTGGAAATCTAATGAGTCACGTTTTGGATGTCTCCTCTACTTGGTGAGCTGAGATCTTCATTTAAACTTCTCCTCTGCTCTGTTTTTAAGTACCAGATTTGATTTCAACTTCTAATTGGTTCTTGTTTATTGTTAATCTTTGTGTAGATTGATGTCATTGTTAGTCTAATAAGTGGTAGACTTGTGCGGGAACGAATAGGTCCAGCGATGCTAAGCGCTGTTCAAAGTCAGGTACAGTTTTATTAGCAATGTGTTATTGGTTCCGTATCCGCAATGAGATCTCCTCTGATCATATTCATCTCTCCTCTTACTGGTCAGATGGGAGCTGTGGATACAACTTTCGAAGAGCTCTCGAGTATTTTCGATACCGGTGGCTCAAAGGGGTTAACAGGAGATTTGGTCGATAAAATACCTAAAATCAAGATCACTGGCAAGAACAACTTAGATGCTTCTGGCAACAAAGACTCATGTTCTGTTTGTCTTCAGGTTTCTTTCTCATTTTCAGCTCAAACGAAATCTTAATTCCCCCAATGTGGAACAAAAAGTTTTAATTTTTGATCTTCTTTTGTGTAACTTTTGCAGGATTTTCAACTTGGTGAAACGGTGAGAAGCTTGCCACATTGTCATCACATGTTTCACTTGCCTTGCATAGACAATTGGCTCTTCAGGCACGGATCTTGTCCAATGTGTAGACGCGATCTGTAATCTTCTTTCTTACCATTTGCACAGTCTCTCCCTCTCTCTTCTTCTTCTTCTTCTTCTTGTATGGCTGGTCGTAATCATGTGGTTAGTCTCTATATGTACAAAGAAATGGAAAAAAGAAAAAAAGTTTTGAATCAAGTTGATCTTAACCAAACCCATTAAATTCAGACTTCAGATTGTGTGTTGGTCTGACCAAACTTTGAAGTGAGTAATTGAATTTTCGTAAATACTATTCAGTAGTTATGACGTGAAGGAAAGAAATTGAATTCTATCTGTGGCTCGTGTGGGCCTCAGGGAGATAAAATCATGCCAAATCATATTTCTTGATTTGGTTTGTTAATTAGCTCTTCTAACATTTAAACAAAACATTAATACTCACCAACACGTAATTAATTACAATGTCAATTTTCGCTAGAGCAATTATTACGAGAGCTTTCCGTGTTGTAACTTGTAATTTGGTTATATATATAAAAAATAAAACGAATAATATGGGCCTCCAATAGGCGAAAGTACGACCGCCTTAGTAGACTG